CTGAAAAAAAGATCTGTAATGGGAGGTAAAAATGACATTTTGGGAGCTGCCACTTGCTCGTCAAGAGAGCAGGACTCACCACAAGGGAGGACGATCACCCCCGAGCGGGCACGACCGTTCCCAAACATTTTTCTCAGGCTCTTCTCCTGGTAGGGCCGCAGCACAGCCGTGGGCTTGAGATCGATGTTGATGTCGGGGTTGACGGTGTCGTTTCGGAAGTCGTACTCTGCCAGGAGGGGATACTCCAACTGGATACAGCGCTTCTGGAGCTCCTCGATCATCTCCTGCAACCAAAACGCCATTCACCAGCGTCAACGGTATATTATAAGGAGTAATGGCCACAGTTTTAATATGAACTGCTTTTTTTCTGTCTCTTGGCTAATACGCGGCAAAAACCATTGAAGCGGGCCCATTTTTCTAAGCTGCAAGGCAGTCTGGATTTCTAAACAAGCTTATGACAGCTCAGTACTGTGGCAGGTTAGCTGAAACAAATATATTACTCCTGCTGACCTGCCACTAGAGGTTGTTCAGGCCTCAGTCAAGTACACATAGATTCACAAGGTGTGAATTGGTTAATTAATTCAATACTTGGTGAAAGGTGAGAGTCACATTCTCACATGGGTGTCTTTCAGTCTAGATGGAGCACATAAAAGACTTCACAGTGGTAGCTGGTGTTGGGTTACTAGTATAGGTGCTTTCTTTGGTGTATGGAAGAACCTGGCTTGAAATAAACAGCATTTGTATTTTTTCTTCCATTGGAGTTTGTCCATGTGCTCAGGCCTCATGATCCACCTGAGGAAAGTCTGGCCTATCACAGTCACATTGCTGATTTCAGCCTTCCCACACTGCAATGCACACCCCTTATTAGTCAATTTTATTTATGTCCCTTAACCTGAATTGTGGAGGCCAAATTAATAGAAAAATAACTGGCAATTCTTATAACAAAGATACCACTCAGTCTCTGATGTGTTATTTGTAAAATATAATCCTGTTAGGTTTCGCAGTATATGCCATGCTAGTTATAAGGCACCAGTCGTGATGCAGACTGCACTCTGCAGATTAAATAAAGCAAATTGGGAAGGTTTTATTTGAATATTGCTGCATAATCCCTTCATAACTGATTCACAAGATGTTACAATCACATACATAATGCTTTACAGAGACATTTGCAAACTGCATCATACTCTTTAATAATGCTTGTAACGTTTAGCTTGTGATGCTAAAACAAATGGCATGACCTCTTATGCACACGTTTCTGTGAAGCATTATGTATGTGATTATAATGTCTTGTGAAGCAGTTATGAAGGGATTATTATATAGCCATTCTGCAGCAACATTAAAAAAAGCCTTACCAAAAGTTGTGGACTTTAAAAATAACTTGTATAAGAAATTACAACTGGGGTTTTGGATGGCTTTTTTTTTACAATGGGAAATGTTCTTTAAACGTCTTAATTTACATCTTGGAGTTAAAAGATTAGTTTGTAACAAAGACAGCACTGTGCTAGCCCTGTGAGATGTCAGTTTGTGAAGTTCGTGGCTTAGCATTTCCAGAGTTGTTTAAACAGATGCTTAGAGAGCCACCTAGTGGAAGCATTTGTCAGCTACGCATCCCTTAAGTTCAATTCAATTCAATTCAATTCAATTCAACTTTATTGTCAATATACTAACACAGGTGCATAGTATAATGAAAAGTGTTTCTCATTAGTCACTCAGGTGCAGTATATAAATAGGAAAATAGCACAGAAGATAAGACAATAGACAGCAACACAAGAACAATAACAGTGTAATAACATAACAAATAACATGTAATCAAGTAATCAAAACTGTGCAAAATTCCGCAAACAGAGAAAATTAAACAGGACAAAAACAGTGCAAGGTAATTCTTGAAACGGTGCAAAAATAGTATGGTGATTAATAAATATTACGACTGATACAGTTTTACTGAGCTATCGAAGGGACAGTACAATTTCGGCTTACATGTGTGTGTAGTGGTGTAGGAGTACAGTCCTCGTGGGTATAGGAAGACGTTAGGAGAGATCATAATATGATGGGAGGGAGTGGGGGCGTCACCGACTTGACAGCTCTGGGGAAGAAGCTATTTTGTCTAGTCTAGTTGTGTGTCTAGAGTCTAGTTGTGTGCGACTGGAGTGACCGGAACCTTCTGCCAGATGGTAGGGGAACAAACAAGTTATGATTCCGGTGAGTGGGGTCAGACATAAGTTCCAGATGCAAAGAAACTAAAAGAAAATAAACGATTGTTTTATTCTGACTAGTTGAAGATGCGCATGCAAATTTTGTACTGCCGTAATATGGCTGCATCATCTATGGTAAATATTAATCAGCAAAAACAACATGGTTTAGACGACAATGACGAAAGTGATAACAAACAAACTTAATGATTGGTTAGTAGTTGTTAGAACACAAAAGATTAAATGCCTTATATTAGGTTCTCAATTAATATTAAGAGTTGTATTTTTCCCCAAAGATAATGCTTTTTAGGTGTACAGTATTCCTTTACAGGATATGATTCATCACTAAAAATAATATGCCCACAAATCATCCTAATAAATAAGTTTAAAACATCTTAATACACCAGTATCCTGGTATGCAAAAGAAAATACAATTTTGCGATCATAAAATTAATTTCATTGCATATTATTTCCAAGTTTCTTTTGTTGCAGCCAAAAAATATGGACGAGAGAATGGAGAAACATCAATAAAAGTCACTATAAATGAAACCCTTAATTCGTTTTTAGCGCAATAACTCAGCTGCAATTTGTCCTGCTCACTTAATTGCTTGGGGTTCATTATTTTCGACATTATTTTTATGCCTTATTCCTTACACAGTTCTGTGAATGTGTGATGGCATGACCTTAGCTCCGACTCATTAATGCAAACCTCATGGCTCTGTATTTCTGCACACACGATCATGCAGTTCTGCTGGTTATGGTATATTAGTTATGACACAAACAACAGTAAATAACAAGACCGGCTGTGGATTTCCTGAATGACGTGGCATGTGCTCATGTTAAAGCATACCTAAATGTGTACTCATTTAGCAAAAGTTAAAATAAAACTTATATTTAGCCAGCAGCTAACTGAAGCTCAAGGCTGCTGCTCTCTCTGCAGTCTGTGTGGGTCCTAATGCCCCAGTATAGTGATGGGGACCCCTTACTGTAAAAAAAGATATAAAACCGAGGTTCTTACTCCCTGTGGTCATTATAAATCCCAGGGCGTTTCTCGAAAACTATAGGGGTGTCACCCTGGCGTCCTGACCCAATTCCCTCCTTGCCTTTACCGATCATGGGCTCTTAATAATCCCCATCTATGAACTGGCTTCATCACTCTGTTCTCCTCCCCACTGATAGCTGATGTGTGGTGAGTGTACTGGTGCACTATGGCTGCCATCGCAACATCCATATGGGGGCTACGCTATAGTGGTACTGGAGATGAGTCTCCATTACCTGTAAAGTGCTTTGAGTGGAGTATCCAGAAAAGCACTAAGCAGGTGTAAAGAATTATTATATATCTGACCTTTATTGTAAGCTTTGTATGACACTACATGCACGGTAAAACTAAAAAAGAAAATCATGCACACATTCCGCATACTGGAGTGTGAATTGAAAACAGCACAGCATAGGTGATATTTCACATTCATTAAACATATCTAGGTTTTAGATCCTAGATGGGAAAATACTGTACAGCTAGCTTCAATTGGTACGTGACAGATTATTACAGATGTATTTGATACTCAAAGACCAAAGGGCTGTGGGTGGATGGAACAAGCTACCCAGCCATGTTGAAGCTGATGTCCTGGGTTCCCTCCCGACACAGCGGATGAGATCCTTGTACGAATTAGCTACCAACTTTCAAACGGGTTAAAAAGAGGAATAAAAATCCATCCATCCATTTCTTTAACCACTTTATCCAAAACAGGGTCATGGGGGAGCCTGAGTCTATCTCAGCAAGCAACAGGGTCAGTACAACCTGCACCCAATGCTAGAACATCACAAGGCAAATACAAATGAAATTATTATTACTAAAGTTAAGCACCTTTCATGAGGTGGAATACTATGCTGAAGGCACAGGTTTTCTGTGATTGGCAGGACTTTAGCCACAAGATGTTTTAGATCACACCATTACACAATGCATAATATATATTGAACTGCAGTTAATATGTTGGATTTGTTTGGTGTTTTGCACTAAGCAAACCCCAGAGGAATTGGTATAATGTGTAACAGAAACGTGAGCTCAGACAATGGCACAATTTCAAGCTAATAAAAACACCAATATAGGACCCGTCAACCATCGAAAACAAATACTGTATCCCAGTAAAAACTTTTCTCATTATTAAACAGAATCTTACAAAATTCATCGTAATCAAGACGAAATTAGAAGAATATTATTGTCCTTTAATTCAGTTGATTTAATATTACTAATAACAACACACAAACATGGGACTGAAAAGGCTCATTAAGAGATATCACTGAAAAGGGGGTTGAGACCAGAGACCAGAGCCCAGACAGGAAAAAAAACGAGGAATCCCCAGCGTGGTAAAACGATAGTTTGAGGAACATTCTGAAAGGCTTGAAACTGTAGTTCCCAGAACAATCTCTTTAGGAGAGAGCGCTTGACTTTACCTGCCTGATCTCAAAGGACACGGTCTGCGTCTCCTCCTCTTCTTCCTCCTCTTTGTCCATCTGCTCATAGTAGCTGAATATGTCCTCGGGGACCTCAGGGCCAGTGCAACTCTGCTCTGGACCTTGGGAGGTGGATGGAGCCCCGTTATCCTGAGCAGACTTTGAGATCTGCAAAACAGAAAATGAAGCCACTGCTAACAAACACACCATCATCTCAAACAACAACTGCTGGTACAAGATGGATAGAGCAGTAGCGCAGGCGAACAGACGACCCGTTACAGTAAGTGTTATTTTTTCGTGGGAGTGTAACCGACGAGGACAGCACGTACCGCAGATTTGCTGGAGATCACCTCAGTGATGAGTGCCGGGTCTTCGCCCTCGGCCGTCCTCAGCCTGCACTCCCGGATCACTTCATCCTGGAGTAGCTTCTGTATGACCTCGGGGAAAGCGCTTTCTACAAAGTACCTGTGTTCAACACGGACCCATTCAGAAATGTACTAGAACGGAATACCTCCCATGAAAACCAGGCTCCTATTCTAAGTAGCGTTTTGGCAGCCCACTATGTGGTGCTCTTTCCTCTGTTACCAAACAACAATGCTCTCTGTGTAGGAGGTGTAGTTTTTCGGGCATTAAACAGAGGTCCTGCAAGCTTGGTCAGTAAGGGTCTGACAGCAGGGTTCACCGGCAGAAGTGATATGATTCCAAAATCCACACTGCTCTTGCATAATCTGGCCTAAGATTCTCCCTTAATTCAACAGGTGAAGAAACGTCTCGCTTTAGCACATGATGTGCTTGTTTTGGTGCCAGCGTATGTCATCCAATTCGGTGCTGATCTTCACTGATAAGGTAAGGTGATATAAAAAGCTCTATAGGACTGCTACCCTACTCACTTTGACAACTAGTTTCAACAGTTGACAAGCATTGTGAAATGGAAAATGTATATTAATCAAATTGAATCTCTTTACAACTACTTATTTGAAATGACCAAAAAATGATTTATACATTAAATATAAGGCTTATTTACTTGAAAGCAAAAAGTATTAAAGTCTTTCTAGGCACGAATTACCATTCAAGATTAATACTGATCTTTAGAAATTACCAGAATGTGTAAGATTTAATGTTGTGGCCTATAATCTCTAAAGACATCATTTACACTTTTAAGCTCCTAAACCAAAGCAGAACACGTCAGGAAAAAAATAAGCTGATTTCCTGGATAGAGGGACTAGTGTGTTATGGAAAAGCACGAACATAAGATCTGCAATTATTTGCTCTTAGCTGGCGAGTTACAAATTTAAAGAGGACCGGCAACGTTATTTTTATATTTCTGGGTTAGAAAGAATCAGTACTGATGAATACATTTCAAACCAGAATGAAAGTAAAATGTACGCATAAACATCTAAAACCTTCAATTTACTTGACAAAATAAGCCAAATTTCCAGGTATACACATCACGATGTTCTGTGGTCCAAAACAAGGAAACAAAACATCCGTGTCACTGCCACATGATGTTGCCTTATTGTATTACATTGTAAGGTAATTGCAAAATACGTTGTATCACAATTGTACTGTGAAAACATCTCTATTAATCCAACAGAAATACTGGGTTAAAATATTTTAGAAGGAGACGATTTGCTGATAAATGATCATTTTACTTGTCAATTCTGCATGCAGATGACCTTAGAACATTTCTGTGGTTAAATATCTGCTGCACAACCTGTACTTATACATGACATTAGTAATTACAGTGACTAGTGAGCAGGAAGGGCCGTTCCACATTGCGTTTCATGCAATCCATGGGAACTATCGCTCTCACTCGTGGCCAGACTAGCGGTTTGCAACATGTCAACGTACTGTATTTTCACTAAGTTTGCGATTTTGTGCTTAATTTGAAATTGTAAAGTTCTCCTATAACGTCAATGGCTTGAGAGACTTCTGTGTGGAGTTTGCATGCTATTCTTGTAGTGCCATGAATGTTCTGTGTTATCTGGTTTCCTTCCAAAGTCCATAGACATGCTGTCTATATTGCACCTCTAAATTGTCCTCCAGATGAGAGGCTGTGTACCATGTAATAGGCTGCCATCCTATACAGACTGTATCCCAGCTTGTGCCTACTTTCAAATGGGTCAGGCTCTGGTGCACTATGACCCTGTATTGAACTGAGTTGTAATGGAGAATGGATGGATATATATATTTATACTGTATTTATCAAAAGAGGCTGTAGGAAGAGTTCAAGAAAATTGATATGTAGAGACTTAAGTACTTGGTTTAACCTCAGCCCAAATATTGTAAGTATAATCTCTTTAAGTACTGAGACAAAGTAGAAACGCATGCTTCATCTGATAGACTGTCAGTCATTACTCAGGTGTAAGAGCTATCATCGTCTCCACGAGCAGACAGTGAATTAACTTTTGCTTGTTCTGTGTGTAAAGAGACACAGTTTCCTGTCTACTGAATATCTCTTTCACTCTGTACATATGTGTGCATGGGCAGATATTTTCCACTGATGAACAGAAACATAGGGTTTCAGAAATGCAAACCACCCCTCTGTGCTCACGCACCACTTGCAGGAAATGGATCATTTTGTCACATGGCCTGCTGTGTGGCATTTAACAAAGCCTACAGCAAACAGCAACTGCATTACTTGAGTTTTTTCCCAATGGAAACCATGAGTACTCTTAACTTTATCATGACATTGACAGAGACATCAAAGCAATATTCATGGCATACAAATCCTTGTCATCAAAACTGTTGGGTAATTTAAGTCCAGATATTTAGTAGTTACAACGATCTCATGCTTAGTCATATGCCAAGGTGGTTGCCCTCCAAAATATTTTAATTGATAATGAATGTACAGATGCTAATCACATGTATGTACTGTATATGAAGTGAGTATGAGTATGATCTGTTGTAGAGTTGAATGTAAGGACTGAGTAGATTGAATTAGATTAGCATCTCCTGGTCTCGCTCTATGATCACCAAATTTGCCCTTGTGCACTTTCATTTTGCCAACCCTTGCAATGTTTTTTCATTCCCACTCATTCAACTCAAAAAGACAAAAATGACTTTTCGCACTGAGATTTAATAACTAGTCCGAGAAACTGGGATTGCAGTTATCTTGTAATGATGACTTCTTTAATCATTTAAAAAAGCAGCTTGTAAAAAATGAAAACGGAACTGATTTTCTGTTATATATTTAAAAAAAAGAACACAGCCCCAAATAAATATCATGTGTGTGTAAACACACGTGAGGACATTTTCGGAAAGAGAGTTATACTGAGATGGCTAATCAGGTTTGTACGGTGTAGGGGAGGTGACAGGCTGGAGGAAATTTGGGGATAAAGTGATGCGAGCAAAGTGATGGAAGAAAAAGTAACAAGAGAAGAGCTTTTGTTTCTCAAAGCCAATTATGTATTTAAGTCTTTTTTTTTTAAATCAGTTTTTTTTGTCCTTACTGGACTGCGGTGTTGGAAGACTACAGCACAACCTGATCACTGTGCTACTGGATCTTACGCAGATGAAGCATTGCACTGAAGGAGATGTTTTTCTCTTTTTCTGGACTGTGGTATTCATGGCAGCAACAAATCCAGTCTCGGACGCTGATCGGCATGTTCAATGAGATCCACAGGGATTTTATGATGCAGACAACAACTCATAATAGGTTACAAAACATGAGAAACTGTTCTCTTCCCCCATATCATGGGAGACTTCACCTTTCCGAACATTCAAGAGACTGCGGAAAATGACATCATTTCAGCTTCCCCCTCGCTCCCTGAATTCTGCAGTCTCAATCAGCATAATTCTCAACGGGAAACCCAGAACTACAGAAAACAAAAACCTGCCTTTTCAAACAGTTTTTGGTTTTCACACACTACAAGAACGAAACTTTCATGGCTTGATGTCAGATACAGATTGTTCTTCTTTTCACTCTAAGGACCACAGTCATTTTTGCATATGTGCTATTTTTTTAAAGAAAAGGCCAGTATTTACCACCCCTTCTCATTCTCTGCAGTGTTAGGTCAGCATATACCACTGACAGGCTGGACTAATTCTCAGAACAGACTGCCTGCACTATCTACTCACTCCAGAAAGCCACTGGAGAAATGGAAGTACTGTGTGCCTGGTATTTAATACATGTGAAGCCTCTTATTTGTCTGGTCCACAACAGGTTATGCAAACCGGCTAAAATTTGTAACAGCTGATAAAAAACATTCCTTCAAACAAACATCTATTGTGTCAGTGCTGCTCGAACCAGCATCTGTGCTACTTTGGTTTCTGACGTATTAAGAATTTTTTTTTAAACTCAGACCCTCCACATCTAGGCAGGCGATCTCATTCGTTTCTGCCGGTTTATGCTGTTTAAACCAACCTCTGAGCTGCAAAGATGAAGATAAATTTTTATGAGTGCAAAAACAAAAAGGCAGTTATTTTGAACATCACCAGAATATTTAAAAATCGATTTTATTTATTGGAGCTGTCTGTCCAATGGATCATCTTAAAATCACAGGTTGGGTTGGCTCTCTGTGCAAAATGTAACCAGGCTACTAAGACCCATATTTACCACTATGGTAAATATAAAATAGATGCATACAAATCCTTGTCATCAAAACTGTTGGGTAATTTAAGTCCAGATATTTAGTAAGTTACAACGATCTCATGCTTAGTCATATGCCAAGGTGGTTGCCCTCCAAAATATTTTAATTGATAATGAATGTACAGATGCTAATCACATGTATGTACTGTATATGAAGTGAGTATGAGTATGATCTGTTGTAGAGTTGAATGTAAGGACTGAGTAGATTGAATTAGATTAGCATCTCCTGGTCTCGCTCTATGATCACCAAATTTGCCCTTGTGCACTTTCATTTTGCCAACCCTTGCAATGTTTTTTCATTCCCACTCATTCAACTCAAGACCCATATTTACCACTATGGGGAAATGTGATACATTTACAGGTGTACACTTCCCCATTATATTATCTTTAGGTTATTATAATTAACTTCACCATAATTTCAGAGACCAAAACTTTGTATCCCTTTGGGACAACAGACGCATGATGTTCATGATCCACTGACCTAACCAAACACTAGCCAAATGCTTTGTGGAATTACTGAACCTGCTTTGCTTCACAGATGTGGTGCTGTTCTTTAGAACAACTGTAACTCCCCACCTTTTTACTGCCAAAAGCATGGTTAAAAACCTTGGTCACCTCTGGAACCGGCTCACCCGTCTTTATAATTGATGAAACACATGAGATGATGGCAGCAGCAGAATGAAATCTGTTCTGAAGTCTACAATATTTTGTTACAATTGTCCCGATTGCAAACCCCTCCTCTTAAGGGCGCTCCAGCCCTTCCTCGTTCTGCCTCATTCCCCGCACCTGTTCCTCATTCCAGCCCCGTTTCAGTTCCCCCTTAAAAGCCAGATGCAGACGATAATTGGGGCTCTACATTGACTCCTGGTTCATGTGAGCCCGGGTCCTGATGCGTCTGGCTCCGTTATGCTTTTAACTTTCCTTTCTTGTTCCTGTTCCCGTTCCCCCTGCCGGTTCCGACCCGGTTCCTGTTTTCAAACTCCTGACTCAGATGGATCGCCTGGCCATGGACTCATGCTTGTTCTTGTTTTTGGATATCTCTTTGGACTCTTCCTGGATTGTTTGTCTCAGGCCACATCTTCCCCGTACACCAGCGCACCAAGGACACGCCCCGTCTCCATTCCCGTCTCCTGCATGACTTTTCCCCTGTGTTTCCCCACTACTCCGGATTGTGTCGTCTGCATAGGGCCCGGATAGAACTGTTTTGTGACAACAATGTTTTGTGTACACTGGCAGAAATTAAAGCCACATTTGCATTGCAATGATCAGCAATGTAATACTCATTTTGCTGCCACAGTTTGGGGTCTGTAAGAACCTTTCTTCACTCCAATTTAACCATGAAGCTGCTTCATGAGGGGGCTAAGTGATGTCACTCTCCAAAAAACGAATCGCAGAAGCCAAAGCAACACAAATACTGCGGGGCTTTTTTTTTGGCAGCGGACTCAAACCAGCAAAATGCTGCACAAGCATGCAGCACAAGCAAATGAAAAGAGTTTCCAACATTTGCGCTGTTGTAAGGGGCTGAGTGACCTAACTCTTCAGAAGCAATGCTTCATATATCTGAAAACCAAATCAGTACAACGCTCATTTCAGCAGCACTAATGATATGTTTGCATTTTGCAGGACTGCCTGAAGAAAACTGAAAAACATTCGCTTTTTAATTTTTAATGCCGAAAAACATGAAATTCCTTTCATTGAAGTATAAACATTACATATAGTTTATTTCCTTGTTAAATCAAAATGAAAGACAATTTGCATAACCTAATCTATTTCGAAATGGGTTTTTACTGAGCATTTTAATTGTGTGCATCTTGTTAAAGCTTGCACTTTATTCTTTTTTTTCCCCAAAAAGTAGTGCTGGGCGATAATTCAATAACGATAATTAGCGTGATATAATTTTCCTCGATATAATTTTAACAAAAGTTCGATAAATGTTCGATATATATGTTTATGCTTTGCGCATGCACACAAAATACCGCGCGAGTGCGCGTGCGTGTTGCAGACTGGGCAGCTAACGTGGTGGTGTTTACCCACACGGTGGCGGCTGACAGGACTGTAGTTAAGAGTGGAGAAATGAGCGACACTGAAGCAAATGTAGTGCTGCCAACGACCAGCTTAAAGGACGATGACATCGTCGACAGAAAAGGTTATTCAACTTCGGTAATTTGGAGATATTTTGGCTTTTAACGATCAGACATAAAACAGAGCACTTTAAACTTTGCAGTCTGTCTGAGCCATTTTCTATGTGTGGTTTATCACACTGCAGTATTTAATTTTTCTATTAAGATATTTATTTTGTAAATTTTACTCATGCATAGTTTGACATAAAAAAGACTTGAATATTCTCTACCTCAGATTTGTTTAATGTTTCTGCTGTTTGGCAAGTGTTTGTTGTGTTCTTAAAATGAAGAGTTGTTTAATTTACCAATTAACTGTCTAGTTTCTTCAACTTTCACTCAGGAGAAAAAATCTGCCTTTAAACTTGAAAGAAATAATGATTTGACATTTATCGTGATAATTATCGATATTGACTGATATGAAAATTTTTATTGTGAGAATGTTTTTGGCCATATCGCCCAGCCCTACCAAAAAGACATAAAATAAATGTAACTATAGTAACTTTAAATACTGGATCTTATTATGAGAGTATTTGGTTCTTATTCCAAGAAGATGTGTAATAACAGTAACTCCATTAACCAAGAGCTCCCTGGTTTTGAAATGGTACTGGCACTCAGCACAGACTGCACATAACTTCACAACTGTCATGTTGAAACCATATATGCAGTACATCTATTAGATTACAAGTGAAATAATTAAACAGACTTCTTTATAGACTAAAATTTTTGCTTTGTGAATGTAGTTAGCGTCAGAAAGCATATATAGGACTTTTTTCTACCCTATTCACCTGTAATCGTATGAATAAATGCTCAATTTATTAACTTACCACATAACTTTTCTATTTATCTGTTTTCCACAGTCATCTTCATTCATGTGTGACTATTCAGCACGAATAACTAAGACCAACATTTTTTAACAGTTTCTGAATGATCCATTTTCCATGGCTTAATCACAGACATATTTTTGGAGGAAAAAAAAAAAGTTGAATTTATAACCTGTCTAGCATCACAGTACATACCTGTTGTGTTTCAGCACCAGTTTGACTTTGCCATAGCTCACTGTGCAGAGCTAGGAGGAAGACAGAAAAATGTACCATATGTTACCAAAATATTCTTCAGTTCAATATATCAAACAGATGCGTGCTGCTGCTGCTGTTTGTTTGTTTAAAATCACTTTTCCACTTTTTGCCATCCAATTTTGAAGAATAAATAATTTACCTGCGGTCTGAAAGTGCAAACTCACGTCTCACAGCACTGAAAAAACTAAGGAAAGAACAGTAATGCTGCAATCAGGGACACACCTTACGTCGTTCAAAGTTCAACTCAAGAACGTAAAAAACTTGCAAAAGCATCGCAGGAAAGTCAAACTTTAGTTAATATATGATAGCCACGAAAATTAAATGTAATCTCCCAGACAACAGCTGCACTTTGTTTTTCATTACATACGAGATTCTACACTGCTGTGTTTTTCTTAAGCTTTCCCTCTGTAGCAAATAATCCTGTAGGAAAGTTGGCCTTAGTAAGGAAATTTAGTAGGGCCTACATACTACAGCCAGCAGCCATATCAAACTGCAACTCACAACTGGGAGCCCACTGAAGCCAAGCAGGTGTGAGCCTGGTCAGTACCTGGATGGGAGACCACCTGGGAAAAACTAAGGTTGCTGCTGGAAGAGGCGTTAGTGGGGCCAGCAGGGGGTGCTCACCCTGTGGTCCATGTGGGTCCTAATGCCCCAGTATAGTGATGGGGACACTATACTGTAAACAGGTGCCGTCCTTCGGATGAGATGTAAAATTGAGGTCCTGACTCTCTGTGGTCATTAAAAATCCCAGGGTGTTTCTCGAAAAGAGTAGGGGTGTAACCCTGGTGTCCTGGCCAAATTTCCCATTGGCCCTTACCAATCATGACTTCCTAATACTCCCCATCTATGAATTGGCTTCATTACTCTGCTCTCCTCCCCACTGATAGCTGGTGTGTGGTGAGCGTTCTGACACACTATGGCTGCCTTCGCATCATCCAGGTGGGGCTTCACATTGGTGGTGGTGGAGGGGAGTCCCCATTACTTGTAAAACGCTTTGAGTGGAGTGTCCAGAAAAGCGCTATATAAGTGTAAGCTATTATTATTATTATTATACTACATAGGGCCACTTTGTATTTCTATTGCAATTATGATGTTTCCTTTATCTCACCAACAACTTATAATATCCATGTGCAACACTGAATTGCAATAATCTCCCCTTAACATTTATCTTTAGGACACGGTATACATTTAGGTTGTTCTTGTCTAACCACACATCCGTGTTAGAACTTCAAGAACCTGCGTGACGCATCTTCAAATCAGAGATGGTCCCTTCCCTGCCAACTGAAAGAGGACATCGGAGTGGGGCCATTTCCCTCTCACCTTGATGAACTGAATGATGCCATCAGGGACCGAGGTCTTGCTGAGCTTCTGCAGGTACTCAATGATGTCTGTCGTCTGCAGGCCCACACTCACGGCAGCGTACAGAGAGTAGGCGGTCAGCTTGTACTCATGAACGTGAGTGGGCCGGCACACTGGCTCAGCAATAGCCACCAGAAAGTCCTGGGCATACTTGTACACTGGAGAGAAAGCCTCCAGGAAGATATGTCCATCTGGAGCCTGTGAAGAGATATACAAAGTCATCCAACTAATTCAGCTTTTTTTTTCCCCCCATCCCTTTCAAGCGAAGCAGCGCATAACACTTTATGCACCTTACAACGTCGACGAATAGGCAGAAAAAATTCAAACCTGTCAACATGATCAAACCACAAAGCTGAAAAGAACAGACATAAATGCAAATGACATCCAGGTGGATTTCCGACTGAAAAACATGTGTTGTAACAGAAAGAATAAGGTTCTGGATCCCGAGATGAAGTTAAACAGATGAGCTTATTGCATGCAAGGAACAATAAAGCCGGAGTCTTGTTTCCCCGCAAGAAACAACAAAACCGAAGTATTGTTCCAAGTGCCGGTACAAACTTTAGGTTTATATAGTCCTTCCTTGCTCCTCTGATTCGTCATTCGTTATTATGGTAAAGGGGGGAGGTCATGTGTTTGACCAGTTTACAGTTTTTTGGCCAAATGGTCAGGGATTAAATCCCAGGGGGTTCCCTAGCTCTCATAGCTGGCATCTGGAATCCTTATCAGTTAACCCCCTTTCCTGCCATAAACCCCTGTTGCTTGGAAGTCTAATCTTCATGCAGAAAGGACTTAAACTTAACATCTTGTATCTTTCTTCATATGGAAGGAATTGGTGATGTTGCTCAGCTCTGTCAATGCATTTGGGCAAAAAATGAAATGGTAGAAATTAACTAAGTCCAGTAATTAAGAACTATAGAATTTAATGTAGGTTTTTAGAGTTGCGGTTCTACTATTACTTACCTGCAGGTCTGCGTAGGACACAGCCCTAAAGAGGATCCTGAGAACGGCCACACTTACAGGGAAATGTGTGGCATCCTCTCCATGCAGTTGTTTGGATCAAAAAAAGCTTCTTCAGGGGTCAGCTTTTAACTCCCTGACGCACCACAGAGAGCTTCAGGAGATCCTTTTTGCAATCCCTGCACTGAATTTCAGACTTTTTACCCTGGACTTGCACTTTTCTTGTCGAAGGGAAAGTGCACTTGCGCAGTTCGATCAGCTGAGTCAACGTATCGCATCAGGGGAACTGTCATGTCTGTGTAGTGTTTTTATGATCTTTTAAGCGTATGAGCTGGCAAGTGAATTTCGACCCTGGGGGATAAACCGAGTGTTGTATCGTATATTGCTGCACTGGCTCTTTCCACTTTGCCCTGCCATCTGAGCCTATCTACACCAACTTTGGCTTGTCCTGTGGAGTAGTAGCTAACACTAAATTGGTGATCATCTCCTTTTTACTTGGAGTTACCACTTTACCCTTGCTTTCCTAAGACCAAGTGAGACATAAGCCCAGCAATCTAAAGAGCTATATTCTCAATAGCTGTCCGAGCCAGCTGGATCTCATCTCACATAGACACTGCTTCTCTGTGTGGCTTTCCACAGTAGGCCGACATAAGCCAGTTGATCAATGAGGGTGTAACAGTTAGGCTGATAAACTGTGACCAGATGAGAGTGTTAAGCAGTGGAGAATTTGCTCCTCCACCAAACTCTCTAATAGAAACAAACAAATACTGAGAATTGGCAATTCTATAAATCTGAAAGCAACCACTGTCTTGTTTTACGGCTTCTTTTTTTGTAATCCAAATAAAATAAATTGTTACAAATTGCTATCACCTGTCGCGATGAGTGTCTAAGGCACGGATCCAATCTTCTAAAAACTTACCACCCAAATGGGGCGAGAGGGGTGGTCCGTTTTTAAATTCATCTGTGAGCGATAGTCTTTGGCTCCATATTCGTCTGTCCTGGTCCCGGACTCGTCCACCTGTTTCCCGGCCGCTGCTGG